CATTACAAGATCAAACACTTCAGGGCATCCCTGATTTAAGAAAGTCCGATTCATGAACATTCGTACTTACGAATGCGATCCCACTTGGTTATAATTTTGAAGATATGACATATGAATATTTCCCATACTTATGAACAGCTGTTTTTCATCCTCCTGTATCATTCTGACTTGCAGAACGGACCTACTTACAACCCAGGAGCCGCCTCTATTGAATCACAGGTTTCTTACTCCATCCTGCCGACAGAGACACTGTTTCCATGTGGAGTAACTCATTCTTTTAAAAAAAAAACTTAATAATGAATATATATCAGTAAAATAAATAGAAGTATACACAAGTGAATTATAATTTCACTGGCTATGTGCAATCCATGTAATGATGTTCGCTGTTGAAATGATAATGGCTAATTCTCACTCTATCTAAGCCCCTTTTATATATATCCTACATACATAAACCACATGCAAAGTAACTTTTGCTGTCTGATCAATCAAACATATTCAGAATTATCTAAAATCTTAATTATTTTCACACTATCTTGTATCCATGCTATTATGAAAGTGTGCTTGCTGCCAGAGTAACTGTTATAAAGCGGGGGTTAACCCCCCTCTGAGAGCTAAAACCTAAACACCTAAACAGGAGTGCCTCGCCCTATAATCTGTAAAAAGAATGTGAAAAGTGGTGTAATCTGCCTTTCAGCAACTTTTAGTGGTTAAATCCCTGACACTCACTTTACAGTTAACAAATAACAATTTATCTATCAAATTCTAACAGACAGCAAATTAACTAAACTATTAACAAATCGAATAAACCCCAACTACTAACTATTCCCAAATAAAACAAGATTCTAATAGTATGCTGTTACAATAAATACAAGTTCCACTTATAAAGAATTTAGTCTGTCAAAATTGCAGCCAAGTTACACGTCTTCCGGGATGATCTGAGCCTTCCCCATTGATTCTTCGGTCGTGAATATTAATTCGCTGTGCCGTGGGTACCTTTCTTATTCAGATGGTGCTTTCTAAGACACAGAAGAGTCTGAGAGCCAGCGATTCTCTGTGAGCTGTTAGGTCTGGCGGATGGCAGTTCAGCTCTGCTGCTTTGTCCAACTCACCCCTTTTATACCCTTGATGATATGCAAATTTCTTACAATGAGATTGGTTCTATGTTGTCAAAACCATCAAATTTAAATTTAATTGGTTTTTGGCATCTAGGAGCCTGGTTCAAATTGATTGGCTAAATTCAAAAACTTGTTGTCTTGGTTAAAAAAAAAACTGCTGCTTGGCCTGCCAGCTGTACAGCCTTTTGATACAAATGTTTCAATTCAGATGCTTTCTGTGTACTTGCAAACTTTCAAGCTGCTGGTCACAGACATCCATTTTAAATCTCTAATCACAGAAAAAGCACATCATTTTTTAGAGGGACCACACAATGCTTTCCCTCCCTAGCATCATATAAACACTAAATTTTAACTTCCTGCCTCCCAATCCACAAATACTCTACCCAACTTCGCAACACAACTAATAAGTATAGCTCATACCCAAGGCTAAATTTGTCATTATCCAGCAAAAAAAAATATTCAGGCATACAGTTAAAGGAAATGTCTTCCCCCTGATTTTTAAACTGGTTTTATTAGCGGTGCAGGGCACCTGCTGGAATGCAATGAAGTTCGACTTCATATGTACAAATAAATCTAGAGTTACTTACCATGAGTACAATACTCACTACACAAATTGATGGTGGTTTGTTTTGATCTTTTTGCCTGGATTAACATGGTTGACATTTTATGCTTTTCAACTAAAAAGAGCTGCATCACAAAACTTTAAAAGCCCAATTACAAAATCTTTACCTTTTGTCTACTGTGTTAACCTCTTCTTAAATAGTACTTCAGGATCGAGGATAACTTGCTTCAACTCTTAGAGCATAGAATAGTACAACATAGGAACAGGCCCTTTGGCCTACGATGTTGTGCCAAACATAACACCAAATTAAACTAATCCCTTCTGCCTACCCTTGGTCCATATGCCTGCATTCCTTGCGTATTCAGGTGCTTATCTACAAGTCCCTTAAATGCCCCTATCGTATCTGCCTCCACCACCTGGCAGTGCGTTCCAGACTCCTGCTACGCTTTAAAAAAAACATGCCCCCCACATCTCCCTCGAGCTTTAGCCCTGTCACCTTAATGCATGCCTCCTAGTATTTGACTTTTCAACTCTGGGGAAAAGATTCGGATCGTGAACCTATCTATGCATTCAATTTCACACACTTCTATTGGGTCTCTCCTCAGCATCCACCGCTTCAGAGAAAACAACCCGAGTTTTTCTAGTCTCTCCTTATTGCTCATACCCTCTAATCCAGGCAGCATCCTGGTAAACCTCTTCTGCGCCCTCTCCAAAGCCTCCACGTCCTTTCTGTAATGTGGTGATCAGAATTGAATACAATACTTTGCCTAACCAAAGTCTTATAAAGCTGTTTGTTCAGTGGGCTTTGAGATAGATGGCTGTTGAGACCAATTGGGATCTGCAGACTCTGCCACGTTAGGGTAGTTGCTGCTTGTGAGGTTGGATATGATTTGTTTGCAGAATTGTGCACTCTCTTCAACACTTTGCCTTTATATGCTTTTGAAACAGTTTCTCAATGTTTGATGCCTTCACAAGTGAACCTTTTCCATTTTGAGTGGTCACTAGCCAGATATGCCCAACAGCCTGCAGCTTTATTTAACCTCTTCAGAGATGCTTTAATTATTGTTGGAGAATCGTAAAACCTCTCAATCTGTCAACTTGGTCTACTGCATCTGCTGCTCCTGATGTGGCCTCCTCTACAGCAGTGAGACCAAGCAGAGGTTCGAAGACCACTTTGTAGAGCATCTGCGCTCTGTTCGCAACAAAGGACAGCATTTTAACTCCCCCTACCATTCCGAGTGACATGCCAATCCAGGGCCTCCTCCAGTGTCACAACAACGCCACCCACAAACTGGAGAAGCAGCACCTCAGGAGCCTACAGCCCGTTGACCTAAATATGGAATTCACCAGCTTTAAAATCTCCCCACAGCCTGCCTCATCCTATGTCCAACTCTCCCTCTCATCCCCACCTCCTTGACCAGTCCATCTTTTCTCCCACCTATCCACTCCTCCCACCTCACTGACCAATCCTCACCACTTCCTACCTGCACTCACCTATCACCATCCCATCTATCTACCCCAGCCCCACCCCTCCTCTCTGTTTCTGAAGGGTCCTGACCTGAAACGTCAGCTTTCCTGCTCCTCTGATGCTGCCTGGCCTGCTGTGTTTCTCCAGCTCATACTTCATTATCTCCGATTCCAGCAGCTGGATTTCTTGCTATCGCTTTCCCCTCTCAATCCCGTTTCTCCCTTTTGTTCTCTGTACATAAATTTATATTAAATTTTTAATTTATACTTTGGGTTTTACAGCTGCATGTTTGTGAGGATTATTCAGTTAAAATGGTGGAAGAGAGGCTGTTGCCTTGTACATTGCAATTTGTCTATAAAAGAACTACACTGAAAATAATCTATAATTACACTATGTTGTCACATTTTTAAAATAGCTTGAATTTCTATGGTGTTTTACATTACCAAACGTCTCAAAGCACTTTACAGAAAACGATGAAATGTAATCGATGTTACATGAAGAGTCTGCGGGCAGCTACAAGCATAATGAACAGAGCGTGTTGCTACTTTGGTGCCAACTGCAAAATCCAGCTTGTTCAGTCCATCGTTCAGAACTTAATGATATTAAAATCGGAGACAGATAGATAATAATGTTACAGTTGTAACCTAAATGTCAAACTACAGGAGGTTATTCGTTTCACTTTATTATACATGCAGTTTATTAAGACACAAATTATCAAGACAAAATTTATGAAAGCATATGCAAGTAAAATTTGACATCATCTTTCTCAATTAAATTAGATTAAATAAAGACCCTGTAAACACCATTGGTACACAAAGTAAACAGATTCATCATGCATTATGTACATTGTACCAACAACAATGTTAGTTCAATATAGAACAAAAATGTTTACAAATACAATGGGATTGTATTTAAAAGTAAACACTAAAAATTAGGGTTAGACGATAATACTTTAACATTCTTTTAAATAAAAGACCCTGTACACTATGACCCATTGTTTATATGCAAGAATAATTATTCACAATTCAAAGTAACAAATAAAGTGAGGAACTGCTGTGACTTTAGGCCAATTGATTTAAACATTACACAAATTGACAGTTATGAACATACATGTAAATACAAGGTCAAAGACTTGAATTTAAAATTGTAAATTGCATTTAAGTATTAGAAAATTTCATATCTAGTTAGTTTCAATTACCAGAACTATTCAATAGTTTTCACAATCTATACTTTCAAGTGTGTATCTGTATTTGTGGCAAGGTTCTATTACCAAATCTTTAAACCAGTGTTAACAAAATTTGCACCCATCATCTGTCAGTGTGTTCCAATCAATGATTTGCTGTTGTTTGTGACAATGAGTGACATGCAACAATGTTTTTTTTAAGGGCAGGAAAATGTGTCATAATTTTGTTGATGCATTGACATTGGAATTGAACAATTACAATAATCGGGTGTAGTACTTAAACCAGTGCACTAGGTTATATGCTTGTTCCTGACTTGATATCAATAGTAGCTAGTCCCAAATAATGAACACACATCTTGGCAACTGCACTTAAATTAACACCAAATGTGCTCATCATTTACATTCTCAAGTATCAGAGATACGTAAAACTTCCACATATTAATTAATAAATCCAACCTACACCTTCACACACCTAAGTCCTGTCAGAATGTTAAAGGCATCTTGTATCAAGTTAGTTAAAACACTGCCCAAAAAAAAAACACAGACTAGGCATCATCTTCACTTGCAGGTCTGTGAAAAATGGCTTTGATCCGAAGACTCTCAAAATGTAAAGAAATAAATACACATCTAATGACATACATCTAGAAGTCTGCAATCTTAATTAAGACAAGGAACAGAGAATACTTAAACTTTATAATTCTCTAGGAAAAGTAGCAGCTTTTCTTTTTATGCAATGAAATTAATTACACATTTGACAACCTCTTTGCTCCATAAATTCATGAGTATCTCAGGCTTCAGTAAAGTAACTCCAGCACAAACAAGAATTGTTTTTTTCTGTCACAAGAAGGAGGGCATCTTAGAGCAGACATTTTATGGGAAAGAAATTTCAACACAAGCTGTCATGAATTACATTTGCATGTCTAGAATAAGTTCCAAAGCAAATGCCTAAGTAAAGCAATCCACACAAATGGCCAAAGCCTTCTGCAGATGCTGAAGATACCACTGAGTAGAAAGCTTCTTTTCTATTGGTTTTCTGGTTAAATAAAATTAGTTTGGATTTATTGAGCCAAGTTTCCATGCTTTTCAGGATTTGAATGTTTGGAATGTCACTTAAGTGCACAAGGCACCAGCTTTGTCCTTGCTTTGCTGATAACATAATTCCTAGGATGGGGTGAGCCCTGGGCTTGTAATCTCAGCATTGGGACTTGCAAGGCATTCACTTGACTTGAGGCTTGTAAGAGACTTGTAACTTGTCATGGAAGTCAAGGATCCACATAAACCAAGTAATGAGGGAGTGTCCTCCTTCCCTGTAAATAAAACAATGCCTTTACTTTTACAGCTTTCACTTGATATAAAACTCAGGCACATAAATCATTCGCTCCACAGCTAATTAGTTATGAAAAATACACAAATAAGAGCTAGCCACAGCATTACAAAATTAGTTATAAAAATCATTAAAAAGGTTTGTTGGCACTAAATCCTGCATGCACAGATTTTTTTTTCTGCTGACCCATCCTCTCTGATCAATGTTCCCTCTCTGTCTATCAGATATTGTAAATTACAGCACTTGTCTTCAAATCTGGGTCTACCAGTTTCCCCCATTCCTCCTCCCCAAAACAAAAATCAGAAACTTCCTCCAGTGTTACATCCTCAGCACTTTGTCAAGCAGTCTGATACAAAAGTACAAAAATTCTGAATGCCAGAAGTCTTAAATCCTACACCAAATTTTTTTTTTTAAAAACTTTAGTTTTTTAAAATTGGACTTTAATTTTACACACATTAATTGGAACTACCAGTGTTAAAAGTTTGGGCAGTGAGGAATTTTTAAAGATTGTTCAAGAAAATTTATTTTAATCAATACGTGCGTGTACCTACTACAGAAGGAGCAAAACTTGACCTTCTCTTGGGAAATAAGGCAGGGCAAGTGACTGGGACTAATAATCATAACTATTTTAAAACTGACAGTATTACAGAAAAGGATAAGCCTTCCATAAAAGTTAAAGTTCTGAATCGGAGTAAGGCAAACTTTAATGGAATGAGACGAGAAACTTTCAAAAGTTTATTGGAGTAGACTGTTCGCAGGTAAAGGGATGACTGACAAGTGAGAGGTTTTCAGAAGTGTCATAACGAGAGTTCATAGGCATTGTGTTCCTATTAAGAGTGAAGGGTAAGGCTGGTAAAAGTAGGGAACAATGGATGAATAAAAGGTTTAAACAAAGAAAGAATGATATAGTAGACATAGACAACTGAAATTATATGAATCTCTTCAAGAGGGTAGAGAGTGTAGGGGCATTCTTCAGAGGGATATCAGGAGGGCCAAGAGAGGATGTGTCATGGGTTTGGCCGATAAGGTCAAGGGTAACCCAAAGAGATTCTACAAGTACATTAAGAGCAACAAGAGAGAAAATAGGGCCCCTTAAAGATCCACGAGGTCATCTGTGTGTTGAACCTCAGGAAATCAGGAGAGATACTAAATGTCAGTTCTTACAGTGGAGAAAGAAATCAAGGCTAAAGAACTCAGGGAAATAAATAGTGATGTTTTGAAAACCGTTCACGTTACAGAACAGGAAGTGTTGGAGGCCTTAGAAAACAAAGATGGATAAATCTACATTGATTCAGAGAAAGTGGGGACTGCCGTTGCTGGAGAATCTGAGATAACAAGATGTAGAGCTGGATGAACACAGCAGGCCAAGCAGCATCAGAGGAGCAGGAAAGCTGATGTTTTGGGCCTAGACCCTTCTTCAGAAAATTCTGAAGAAGGGTCCAGACCCAAAACGTCAGCTTTCCTGCTCGGCCTGCAGTGTTCATCCAGCTCTACATCTTGTTATCTTGGATAAATCTACATGACCTGATCAAGTATACCCCAGGATGTTGTGGGCACTTAGGGAAGAAATTATAGGGTTCCCAGCAGAAATACTTATACCATCTATAACCATGGATGAGGTGCTGGAGGCTAGCTAATGTCACGCTATTGTTTAAGAACGGTTCTAAAAGGAGAAGCCTGGGAACTATAGACTTGCGAACCTGACACTGGTTGTGGACAAGTTGTTGGAGGGGATTCTGAAAGACAGGATTTACAGCATTTGGAGAAGCAAGGACCGATTAGGGATTATCAGCCTGGTTTTTATGCAGAGAAATCTTGTCTCACAAACTTGGAGTTTTTTGATGAAGTAACCAAAAAGACAGAGGAGAGCAAAGCAGTAGGGGTTGTTTAGTAAAGCCTTTGACAAGGTTTCGCATGATAGACTAATTAGTAAAGTTAGATCACATGGGATTCAGGGTGAGCTTGCCAATTGGATACAAAATTGGCTTGATGGTAGGAGACAGAGGGTGGTGGTGGAAGGTTGTTTTTCAAAATGAAGATCTGTAACCAGCAATGTTCCACAGGGATTGGTGCTGGGTCCACTTTTGTTTGTTATTTATTGTAGGGGTGACATATACCTGGCTATGTAAGGTGACTTGTACCTGAATACACTAAGTGGCCCATGCCTGCTTACAAGATGGCAGATGGAAGCTAAGCAAAACTGAGCAGCCTGCTCACATAGGTACCATTGTATTTCACTTCGAACAGAACTGCTGGAAGGTCAATAAAAGAACACTATGTTCCCATCCAAGACATAGTTCTGATAAAAGGATGCCTTAGGACAGATAAATGACCAATTCCAGCCTTATTAATATCAGGATGATTGTCCCAGTAAATGAATAACATCAGGTGCTGAATGAAGTCCCTAACAGCTGCAAGGATAACAGCTAAAGTTATTTCATAGTAAATAGCTGCCTCTTTGAAGCTACCAGCAATATTAAATAGCTTCTAGCTAAAAATGCTCGAATCATATAAGCTGGTTTCATTACATAACCAGAACATAATACAAGCCTTAAAAAATATTTAAGCTTAGATGTGAAAATTAACTAGCCTTAGGAGACACCTTCTCTTATGCCCTGAACAAGATAGATTGATCACAACCCATAAATTACAAAATGCTGACAGTAGTAGTTGCATAATGTTACACTTTTAATTAACTTTATAACAGAAGTTAACCTTACAGCAATTAGTTAAAACTAACTTTTTATTTTTACATTATGTAATTGGGACAGTGGGAAAATAAAGGGAGTAACTGAATGTGAGAAAAGACAGCACCAAAATACAATGGGTAGTAGAATTTGAGCTGTCCTTACAGATAAGGAAGTCTGAGAAAGACCTGAAGGAGTATAGCCATTAAACTTTTGTAATGCTAATGAATAGCATGCATAGGAAGATCCCAAGGCCTAGCGATTACAGTGTCTAGCTAATACCATAAGATCATGGGAACCTGGGGCTGTCTATAGAAGTGCCCATCACTGATTGGGTGCCTCACAGGATTGGGTGTTTCAATTAGGGGGAAGGACAGTGGCTACATTGTATTTGATTACTGTAACACAATGTACAAAAATGCTGTTTTTCTTTGCAAAAGCAGAAGTTGTGTCATTGATCTATCTTCCAAAGCCAGATTCAGGGAAGATCCTTCGGCCCTCTCCCAGTGTAAACTGGTTTATGCTTGTATAAATATCTTCCACTTGCCCGAAACCTGCCTACTTCTTGCGTCTTTGTCCTGGGTTGAGAAAAACATTCCGACATTTACATAAAATGATTTGGATGAGATTATAGGAGGCATGGTTAGTAAGTTTGCACATGACGCCAAAATTGGTGGTATTTTGGACAACGAAGAGGTTACCTAAGATCACAAAGGGATCTTGATCAATTGGGTCAACGGGCTGAGGAATGGCAGACGGAGTTTAATTTGGATAAATGTGAGGTAGTGCATTTTGGTAAAATAAACAAGAGTCAGAAATTACACAATTACTAGTATGGCCCTGGGTAGTGTTCCTAGGGGTTCAAATACACAATTCTTTGAAATCTGTGAAACAAGTAAACAGGGTGGCTATAAGGCATTTAGCACACGACTTTATTGCTCAGACCTTGGAGTATAGGAGTTGGGACATCATGTTGAGGTTGTGCAGGGCATTGGTAAGGCCTCTTCTGGAGTACTGTGCGCAGTTCTGGTCACCTTGCTATAGGAAGGATATTATTAAATTGGAGAATGTTCAGAAAAGATTTGCCAGGATCTTGCCAGGAATGGAGGGTTTGAGTTATAAAAATAGGCTGGTGCTTTTTTCACTGGAGTGTAGGAAATTGAGGAACACAGATAAGGTGAATATCAAGGGTCTTTCCCCTAGGGTGGGAGAGTTCAAAACAAAAGGGCATATTTTTAAGGTGCAAGGAAAAAGTTTAAAAAAAGATAGACATGGGACCAACCTTTTTTAAACTTAGAGTGTTGACATGTGGAATGAACTGCCAGAGGACGTGGTGGATCAAGTACAGTTACAGCGTTTAAAAGACATTTGGGTAAGTACATGAATAGGAAAGATTTGGAGGAATATGGGCCAAACACAGACAACTAAGACTAGTTTAGTTTGGGAACGATCGGCATGGACTAGTTGAACTGAGGGGCCCGTTTCCATGCTGTACGACTCTAGGACTCTAGGAGATTGCCGGGAAAACTCAGCAGGCCGCTCAGGATCTATGGAAAGAGAAACAGAGTTAATGTTTCAGTTCAATGTTTGAGCAAGGAAATGTTAAGAGATATAACAGATTTTAAGCAACGACAGAGGAAGGGAAAGGGGTGGTCTGTGACAGGATGGAGAAATTTCAGGATAGGTTAAATACAAAAAGATGATGAAGCAAGGCAAAATGAAAAAGTAGAAGATGAGCTTAGAGGCTTTAGGGAGTCAGTTAGCTCAGTTGGTTGCATATCTGGCTTGTGAAGCAGCGTAATGCCAACAGCTTGGGTTCAATTCCTGCACCATCCGAGGTTCCCATGAAGGACTCCTCAGCCTCGCCCCCTCACTAGAGGTATGGCAACCCCCAGGTCAAACCACCACCACCAAATCATCTCTCTCCAATGAGAGAGCAGCTCTATGGTCCAGGACTATGGTGACCTTAGAGGATTCAATGGCCTAGTGGTATTAAATCGCTAGTCTATTAATCCAGCGACCCTGGTAATATTCTGGGGACCCAGGTTTGAATCCTGCCATGGAAGGTTGTGGAATTTCATTTCAATAATTAACTGTAATGAGGAGTCAAATGATGACAATGAAACCATTGTCAACTTTCAGGAAAAATTATGCCAGGTACAGAAGCAAACTGGCGTTCTTACCTGCTCTGGGACTCCAGATCCACAGAAATGAGTTCAACCACAAATGCCCTCTGGGCAATTAGGGACGGGTAATAAATGCCAGCCCAGTCAGTGACGCCCACATCCCATGAATGAATAAAAAATAAAAGTATGTATCTGGGAATAATCAAAATCATTATAAAATGTTCCAGTCAAAAAAGAAAGAAAATGGACAGAGGTTGTAATCTAAATTTGTTAAACTCAATTTTCTTGAGTCCAAAAGACTGGAAAGTACTCAATAAAAAGAGGGAGGTGCTGTTCAATGAGTTGACATTGAGCTTCATGGGATTAGTGTAAAAGACCAAAGGACAGAACGGGTGCAAGGCAGAGAATCAAAATAACAGGCAGCCACAAAGGCTCAGAACAAGCTTTGCAGAGGTATCTCAGTAGGAAGGAGACTGCATCATAAATCAGTATATCAAATTGAAAGCAGAACAATAAATAGTTGTCTTGTTTGCAAGAAACATTTGGGTTCCTGAATGCCGGGAACGGAGAAGGTTTAAAGGGAACATGTTACATCTTCCGTGTTTTCAGTGAAGTTCTACAAGTAAAGGAGGGGATGTTGGATATGATTCAAGGGAAGACGATTGTAGATGCAATGGTCTGTTCAGAATATTGAGCGGTAAGGGTGAGCAAGTGCTTGGTAGTGACATCATGCTGAAAAGGTGGAAAAAAAATGCCTCAAAAAATCAATGGAATACTCATCTTCGATCCCCATCAGCATTCACACAAAGAATTTACAACACCATTGCTGTTATCTTCAGTTGTCATCAGCAAACATATCTTGCCCCTCACCCCCTCTCAGGAATCGTGAAGTGCCTACATGAATGTTTTGGGATTGTCAGACGTTGGGCAGAATAAAAAAGAATGACCTGTCTTTCACAATGTCAGAATATGCCACAATGCATTGCAGGCCATGAGTATTTTGAAGTGTAGTCACAGTGGTAAAAGTTGGAAACACAGCAGACAGTTTGCACCCAAGCGAGCTCCCACAAACAGCAATGTAATAATGTTCAGACAATCTGCTTTTTTCCTGATGTTGCTTCCAGCCTGAATATTGGTTAATGTAACCATCCTTTTTATGAAATACTACCATTAGATTTTTTTCTTAAAAAACAGCCATCTGAGAGTGGGCATTTAAAATTTGAAATAAACTACAGCACTTCTAATGGTATAGCACTCCCTCAATGCTCTACTGAAATAATCAGCCTAGACTGTGTTCAAGTATTTGTTGCTAGACTTGAACCTTCTGACTCAGCAGCAAGAGTGCAATGTCCAGCTAAAATGAAAAGCAGCTAGTCTAGCTGTAGTTACTTATAAATAGGTAAGCTTTGGCTAACTGGGACAATAAATGCAACAACTTTTTACTATGCACCTTAGTCATAAATTCTGTACAGTTGGCATCTTGTTCTCACTGAATAAAAATAGATTTCTATCCACAAAATAATGCACTTGTAAGTATTTAATGCTGAGCTGATTGTACGTCAGGATGTCAATGCCGCTTTTTCTCCCCTTAAATCTTACCTTCTCTTTTTGAGTTTCCATGCCTTCCCACCCCCTCTTTTTGTGGATGTAATGGATCTAGTGAAGTTGAAGAAAGACTGATCTCTGCAGACAGCTGCTCCAAACTTTGGAAACTGTGTCTGCAAAGACAAATCACAACAATATCTTGCAAGCTTGCCAATAACGTGTGAAAGTAATCTTAAATCACCATGTCTTTAAGTCACAAACATGCAGACTATATATAGTGCTATGACATAAATGTTTAAATATTGTAAATTGACATCAATCATTCCATGCAAGTGATTATACACCTCGACAGGCTGAGATGTATCCATGGCCTGTTGGCATTCTGAAGCAAAATGATCGAAGTATGTTGTATTATACTTGGCTCCCAGTGAAAATTATCTGTATATAATCTCATCTTTAGGTAAACAATCAACATCGTTTCACCAATCTTTGTGGGAGATTACTAAATTTCTCTAAAAGAACATAAAAAACTTATCTCCTAAAAAATGTAACAGGATATTTCATTTGTAGATAGCAAGAACTGCAGATGCAGGAATCAGAGTGAACACAGTGTGGAGCTGGAGGAACACAGCAAGTAAGGCAGCAGAGTAGGAGAAAAAAAAAGGAGACCAGCTTCCCAACCTGAAACGTCGACTTTCCTGCTCCTCTGATGCTGCCTGACCTGCTGTGTTCCTCCAGTTCCAGAGTCGACTGTTTCATTTGTAGATTTCAATACTACATAATTGATGGCCATGCAAGAATTTACTGAGCAACAGTAACACTTACTTTATAAGCAGACTTTTCCTTCAAAAATAGTTACATTAGTTTGGATTTACTTTCAGTTGCTGGCTATACCTCAAATGCTGTGATACCACCTTTTACACAATGATTAGTAAAATTGACAGAGATTTTGTTATTGTAACTAACCAGGTGATTGAACAATGCAATGTAATGGCAGAGGACAGTGTAATCATCATGTTATCATCAAGACTGAAGAGCTGTCAACTATCAACAAATTCTTAAAAACAGGCTGTGGACAGAAAATGGCTTTTTGCAATTATTAGATACAACACGTAATACATCACAAAGTCAGAGTCATTGAGTTGTACATCACAGAAACACATTTTCAACCCAACTAATCTATGCTGACCAGATATCCTAAATTAATCTAGTCCCATTTGGCCCATATCCCTCTAAACTCTTCCTCTTCAAAATACCCATTCAGCTGCCTTTTAGATGTTGTAATTGTATCAGCCTCCACCACTTCCTCTGGCAGCTCATTCCATACTCACGCTACCCCGTGCATGAAAAAGATGCCCCTCAGGTCCCTTTTAAATCTTTCCCCCCCTCACCTTAAACCTATGCCCTCTAGTTTTGGACTCACCTACCCTACGGAAAAGACCTTTACTACTCACCCTATCCATGCCCCTAATGATTTTATAAACTTTTATAAGGTCAGCCCTCAGCCTCTGATGCTCTGTAAACCAACTCACCAGCTTTGGGTGTTGGAAAATATTTTCTAAAATTAAATTTCCTAATTTTCACAAATGCTCAATATTTAAAATACATACTACAAACATAGATTAACATCTTTGTCAACTAATAACTAAAATATACATATGTCATATCAATTGAGCAAGTTATAAAAAAAAAGTTGCATATTTTATAGACTCTTGTAGTGTCTGGTGGTTAATTTAAGTTATGAACACACAAACAAGGAACAAGAGCAGGCTACTTAGCACTTCGAGCCTACTCCGCCACTCAATGAGATCATAGCTGATCTTATTTTAATCTCAACTCTACATTCCTGCATGTCCCGATAATTTTCCATCACCTTGGTTACCAACTTCATCTACCTCTGCCTTCAAGATATTCTGCATCCATTACCTTTTGGAGGAAGGGAGCTTTAAAGACTCCAAGCTCTCATGAGGAAAAAAATCTACTTCAAATTGGTTCCCCCTTAATTTTAAACTATGACCGCACCCACCCCGTTCTAGATTCTCCCACAATTTGCTTTGGTAGATAAACAGATTGTTTAGTCTTGAGCTGTAGGGAGTGCCTTATCTGAAAATTTTTGTTTGCCCTTAAAGATATATTGTTATGACTTCAGTATTTGAAAAAGTGCCCAGAATATGCTAGTCTTTTCATTTCCTCTTGTGTACGTTCAAGTTAAACGTCAAAAAGCAAAACACTACAAAGGCTGGAAAACATGAAACAGAAACAGAAATTGTTGAAAATACTCAGCAGGTCAGGCAATAATAGTGGAGACACAGTAAGGTTAAGGTTACAAATCTTTCAGAGAGAAAGAAAAATCCTTTTATGATCAAATAAAAACCTCAAATGAGCTACAGCAAGGCAGGATAAGGATACGAGTGATTTTTAAGTTAGAATAATCACAACCAGAACAAGTCAAACTTGGCATTTTAAAATAAAATGTAAAACATACTCATCCCATTGCCCACACTGTTTTCTGTACAGAAGTGTATCCAAAGCAACAGCATCTGCATCTAGTGCTCCTGGGGAGGGCCACTGATTGGTGAGGTGTGCGGTTAATTCTTGTCTTGATCTCAAATCATTATGTTTCAACACTGCCCTGTAAGACAAGGTGTGTAATGAGATTGCAGCAAGGTAACAGACTTCAGATTGCACAAAATTACTGGGCAATAGCTAGAAGCTACTTATACAACTACACGATACTTGGTTCTGCTACTTTTCAACATTAAATATTTATTTACCTTCCAAAATGTGACTGTGATCTTGCTTTTACTACCTCATATGGAAAACACTTGTTAATGATTGTAACATCTATAACTACCGGTCATGTCACTCCATCAATTCATTTTTAGTAATACAATTGTTTTACTTCCAAATGTTAATCATTTTTGATTCATGGTTCAGATCTTGGACAATGGTAGAAATGTTCATTCCTTAAAGCTAGTCATAATTGAGTAAAGATAAACAGCAAATACTACATCTACATCATTAGAGGCTTTGAAGTATTTAGAACTAAAATCCTGTGGCCTCTGTAAATTCCACCACAGTCAGTCACTAATAACCACCTCAACCTTGACAACATTGTAAGTGAGGAAATACATGCTTCCAGAAAAAAAGAATCAACAGCCTTCCCAAACTTCTCAATATACGAAATGAAAAGTAAATACACAGCTCCTCGAGTCTGCTCTGCCATGCAATAAAATCATTGTTAATTGGTTTGTGTTTCGAATTCCACATTCCCAAAAACCCTAAATTCCCCTGCCTAGAGAAGAATCTATCCACCTCTGTCTTGAAAATATTCAATGACCACTGTCTTACTACATTCTATGACAGAGCAAGTCACACAATCCTCAGTGGAAAAAATGCTTATCATCTGTGTCCTGAAATGAGGACTCAATTTCAAAACAGTGCCCCCTAGTTCTCAACTCTCAAGAGGAAACATGCTTTCCACATTGATCTTGTCAAGAACATTCAGGATCTTAAACTTGAACAAGTCTCCCCTCATTCTTCTAAACTCCAAGGGAAACAAGCCTAGTCTGTCCAATCCATCCTCGTGAGCCAACTCACTCGTTTCCAGTATTAATCTGGTAAACCTCCTCTGACCACCTTCAATGCATTTATATGCTTCCTTAAAAGTAAGGAGCCCCAAATTTCACACCGTATTCAAGATGTGGTCTCACTGATGCCTTCTACAACTGAAGCAGAACTGGTACGAAAGTAGTTCTTTTAAAAAAAAAAGACAATAATTTTTCTGTCAATTGATAGACATGACTGTCTCTGTACGTCAGCGATGCAGGTTTCACTTACTGGCTTCCACCAACTCACCTCCAAAATCAAGAACCATGCCAGAAATGACTTTGTACGTGGACAACCATGCAAAATTTGTACAATGTTTTAAAATATCGCATACAACTGGACATCCCAACACGTTACAAAATTGTTCCTACTTACAGCATACAAAGCAGTGAAAAGTAATAGTAGGCCGGAGGATTGGGCTTTTTTTTTTTTTAAAATAAAAGTGATTAAAAAGCTAATAAAAAAGGAGAAAATTGGTTATGAAATTGGCATAAAATATACAAGCAAACAGCAACAGCTTCCGCATGTAAGAGAGTAGTTAAAATGAGTAGAAACCTTACAGGATGCAACTGGGGTATTGATAATATGAACAGGGAGATGCAAAGTAATTTAATTTGACCCATTTTGTTTGTTTAGTCATTTGGAAAAAAAACCAACTACTATTTCTCACATCCATACTGTACTAACATACAGGTGTCTGCCAAGACAAGCCAAAACATAAGCACACCGTCCAGTGAACCCGATCAAACAACTGAAAGCCTTTGGTTCAAATGTGACAGGCCTCAGTAAAGTGGGATTTCTGTACTCCATTCTTGCATATACAATGGGAATTGCAATGTACGGGTTTTCAATAAAGCAACCATTTAATTACTGCAAGTAATGATGGGGCATAGAATTTTTTACAAATGGTTGCATTAAAATTATTGGAATTAGGTATGTTGCGGGGAAAAAAAAACTGCCACGACTGCATCTACTACATAGAACTAAAACATGAGCAGTTTTCATTAAAGTATTAGACCGGACCTTTCAAAAGTTGATTAGGAAAGGCTATTTGCAGGGAAAGGGATAGTTGGAAAGTGGGAGGCCTTTAAAAATGAGACAGAGTCCAGCGACAGTACATTTCTGTTAGTGTGAAGGGCAAGGCTGGCAGGTGTAGGGAACGTGGGATCACTAGAGAAATTGAGGCACTGGTCAAGAAAAAGGAGGCATGTGTCAAGTACAGACAGCTGGGGTCGAGTGAATCCCAAGAGGAATACAAAGGGTAAAAAGGGACATGAGCTACCTTTGGCAAATAGGGTTAAGGAGAATCCAAAGAGATTCTACAAATACATTAAAAGGAAAAGTAGTAACTCCGGGGAGAACAAGTCCCCTTAAAGATCAACAAGAGCATCTAAGTGTGGAACCACAGGAGAGGCGAAATACTTATTTAGTATCTCACCATCAGTATTTAGCGTGGAGAAGGATATGGAAGCCAGGGAACTTGAGGAAACAATGATATCTTGAAAAGTGTCCACATTACAGAAGAGGTGGTGCTGAACATTTTAAAATGAACAAAAGGTGTATAAATCCCTGGGATCCTATTAGGTGTCTCCTAGAACTTTATGGGAAGCTAGGGAAAGGATTGCTGGGCCCCTTGTGATATTTCTATCATAGTTAGCCAGAGGTGAGGAGGTGCTGGAAGACTGGAGGTTGAGTGACATGGTGCCATTATTTAAGAAAGACAGTAAGGAAAAGCCAGGGAACTATAGGCCGGTGAGCCTGATATCAGTGGTGGGCAAGTTGTTGGAGGGGATTCGGAGGGACAGGATTTGGATGCATTTGGAAAGGCAAGGACTGATTAGGGATAGTCAACCTAGCTCTGTGCATGGAAAATCGCGTATTAACTTGATTGAGCTTTTTGAAGAAGTGACAAAGGCGGCTGGTAAAGGCACAGCAGTATACATTGTCTACATGGACTTCAGCAAGGCGTTCCACAAGGTTCTGCACAGCAGTCTGGTTAGCAAGGTTAGATCGCATGGCATCCAGAGGAGCTAGCCAATTGGATATAAAATTGGCTTGAAGGTAGGAGACAGAAGGTGGTGGAGGAGTGTTGATATTCAAACTCGAGGCCTGTGACCAATGGTGTGCCGCAAGGACCAGTGCTGGGTCCTCTGCTTTTCATCATTTAGCTAAATGATTTGGATGTGAACATAGGAGGTATGGTTAGTAAGTTTGCAGATGTTGAAGTGGACGGTGAAGAAGGTTACCTCGGAGTACAACAGGATCTTGATCAGATAGACCAATGGGCCGAGGAGTGGCTGATGGAGTTTAATTTAGATAAATGCAAGGTGCTGCATTTTGGAAAGTCAAATCAGGGCAAGACTAATACACTTATTGGTAGAGCCCTTGTTGCTGAACAAAGGGACTTAGGGATGCAAGTGGATTCACAGGCAAACAGGGCGATGAAGACCGCATTTGGCATGCTTGCCTTCACTGGTCAGTGCATAGAATATAGAAGTTGGGATATCAAGTTGCAGCTGTACAGGACATTGATTAGGCCACTTTTAGAATACTGCCTACTCCCTACATTTTGGTCTCCCTGCTATCAGAAGGATGTTGTTAGACTTGAAAGGGTACAGACAAGATTTACAAAGATGTTGCCAGGATTAGAGGGTTTGAGCCATAGGGAGTGGCTGAATGGGCTGGGGCTATTCTCCCCCACCAGGTGTGTAAGAGGTTCAGGGGTGACCTTATAGAGGTTTATAAAATCATGAGGGGCATAGATAGGGTGAATAGCCAAGGTCTTTTCCCCAGGGTAGGGAGAGTCCAAAACTAGAGGGCATTGGTTTAAGGGGAGGGGAAAGATTAAAAACAGACCCAAGGGACAACTTTTTCCACACAGAGGATGGTGTGTGTATGGAATGAGCTGCCAGAGGAAGTAGTGGAGGCTGGTACAATTACAACATTTAAAAGGCATCTGGATGGGTACATGAACAGGAAGGGTTTAGTGGGCTATGGGCCAAATGCTGACAAATGGGACTAGATCAATTTAGGATATCTGGTCCGCACAGACAAGTTGGGCCAAAGGGTCTGTTTCCATGCTGATCACTTTATAAAGTCAGAGTTATCATTGGCTTGAATGGAGAGAAATTTAGTGGGGTATCTGTGGAAAGATCTGTTTTCCTGTCAGTACACATTAAAATCTCACATCAAAAAACAACCAAAAACCCACTCTTATTCACAAATCACACCTAATTAGACATGATTTAAAAATCTAGTTATTCAAAGGGGTTACAGAATTTAAAAATAATTAGCCTGTGATGGATGTCATACTGCAATTTCGAGTTTTGGTTTTACGTGAGTCAGTGCACCGAGAATGCTACTGCATTATTAATTGTGTGATTATACAGTATGCACTCAACGTAGTTATCATGGAAAAATGAAACTTTTCACCTCCTCCATATCCCTAGAAAAGCTTCACTTCTATGCACAAAACTAGCTGTCGCATCAGAGAAAATGTGCATGATAAAACAACTCTGTACACTTCATTTCAATCCTTTATTTCCACTATTTACTAGTGTTATACTCATCTTCACAAGATTCAACTATGGCAAAAGCAATTTTATGGCAGCAAAAAATTCTTAAACATTTTTATTAAAGTGGCAGCTATGTCACTGCAAATAACTATAAATATATTTAAGTTGTGTCTTCTCATTACCATCCAACCCATCATTGGAATGAATTTTTTTTAAATTCATTCACAGGATGTGGGCATTGCTGGCTAGGACAGTGCTCATGGTCTATCCCCAATTGCCCAAAGGGCAGTTGACAGCCAACCACACTGCTGTGGGTCTGCAGTCACATGTAGGCCAGTCCAGGTAAAGACAGTTGTTTCCTTCCCTAAAGGACAATACTGAACCAAATGGGATTTTCTATTGCGGTCATCATATTCTGGGTGGGGGACTTCAATGTGCAATACCATGAATAACTCTGCAGCACTACTACTGACCGAGCTAGCATTCAAAAAAAAAAAGCGATATATGGTGCCTTTTTCTATACTTTAAATTTTAAAAAACATCCTTTCAAGGATCAGAGATAGTAGGAACTGCAGATGCTGGAGAATCCGAGACACCAAGGTGCAGGGCTGGATGAACACAGCAGGCCAAGCAGCATCACAGGAGCAGAAAGGCTGACGTTTCGGGCCTAGACCCTTCATC